GATTATTTAGATTTATTAATGCCAAGGCACAGGCCAGATGGCAACTATAAAATATTATATAATAATATAAAAATATATAGCGATCATAATTTATAATTTATGGTTTGAGTATTTTTATGGAAATAAAATAAAATAAAATATTGTCAGCAATTTTTCTTCGTTGACTAGTAAAACATTCCTGACTTACCGACATTATACGCTCGTTTCACGGTCGTTTCACTTACAAACTACCGTGCAATGACAGACGATCGATCGATGATCTACGATTTTTACTTAGGTAAAAAATCGAAGAAGTCAAGTAAAAATTTGGTTTTTCGAAGAGTGAAGTATGATAATTATACAGAATAAAAATCATAAAGTAACAGTGAAAAACTTTCACAATGATACTCGTCGTTCACTGTCAAATGACGGCCGTTCGACAGTCAAGTGACGGTCATTCGACGATCATTTGTCGACACTGTGAATTCACTGTACATTCACCGTCGTTTCACGATCATTTTACTGTGAATTAGAGCCGTCTCTGCTTATCTATGCTTACTTCTCGCTTCTACTTGTATAGTGCTTTCGTATTTTCTTACTCTTATTAAATACATAAACATTTTATATTATTTAATAAGAGATATGACATACTTCGTATTCATTATTTTATAATACAAAATAATGAAAGTAATTTTTTAAAGTTACTAGCAAGAAGAAATTAATATTATTTCATATTAAAATATGAAATCTTAACATACTTTTATATAAATACTAAAGATAAAACCGCGAGCAATCATTAAATTTTAATTGGCCTCTAAGCTACGTACTTGGAATCAAATATCTCGCAAATAACATGGTTTAATAATTGACGGAATTAATGTAAGACATTAATTAAACCTCTAATTAAGCATTTTAAGGTAGTTTATACAAGATTGGGGATGAATGCTTACAGAGGTCTATTGAAACCCTCTCGTTACTTTGATTGGAAGACGTGGTGTTAATTTATTACTGTATATGCTTGTTATAAAGTTCAGGTAAGAAGATTGAAGGTTGTTATGATACATTATAAAGTTATCGGTTGTAAAGATACATAATAGGATTGTCGAGTGTATTAATTGACGATATGATAACTTTTTTAATTTAAATAAGCCCTCATGGTTGGATGTTATTATTAGTTGAGTCAGAGATGAAATTAAATAAGTTAATCAAGTATTTAGAAAATTAAAAAAAATTGGTGATTTTGACTAATATTTTTGTATTAGTTGCCTGTAATTAATCAAGGCTTTAGTAACTTTCTAGAAGTTTGTACACCAAAATTTTGTCCTACTAATAGGGTTAATTCAATTCGTATTATAATTTTTTCTTGTTAAATTACTAGAATAGAGAAAATAAAAATAATTTATAGCCTTGTCTAGTTCGGTTGACTTTAAATGTAAGTTAAGTGTTAAACATCTCCCAATTCTTGAGAGATAAGCTTATAAAATTATTAATTTATAGCAATCTAATACGCTAGATTTCATTCGAATAAAAATCTAAAAATATGATCAGTTTCAAGATTCTTATACTTTCAAAATTAAATCTAAAATAATTATTATACTTATTTTCATGCTATAGATCATTCGGTAATTTAATAAATTAAAAATTGATTTCTTACTCATTATTTTCGGTGAATTATAGGTACTCGTG